GTAGAATGCTGTGGCACCACAGCTCACAGCACCCTCCAACTCCTGGGCTCAAGCGATTCTCCTGCCTCAGCCTCCCAAGTAGCTGGGAACACAGACGCCCGCCACAACACCCGGCTATTTTTTTGGTTGCAGCCATCATTGTTGTTTGGCCGGCCCAGGCTGGATTTGAACCTGTCACCTTAGGTGTATGTGGCTGGCGTCTTAGCCACTTGAGCCACAGGCGCCGAGCCTATTTTTCTACTTTTAGTAGAGATGGTCTCAAACTCCTGAACTCAAGTAATCCTCCCTCCTTAGCCTCCCAGAGAGCTAAGATTACAGGCTGAGCCACCATGCCTGGCCAGAAAATAATCATTTTAAAAGATATTAGAATACTGGCTCAAATATATATTTAAGAAATTATGATACTGTGTTTACTTCAGCAGCACATGTAGTAGTAGAATCAGAATATTCCTAACATAAAGAAAATATAAATGCTTAAGATGGTGGATACCCCAATTACCCTGATTTGACTATTCCACATTGTATGACTATATCAAAACATCACATGAACTCCATATATATAACTATTATCTACTCATAATAACTAAAAATTAACAATTGAAAAAAATAAATTAGGATATGATAAAAGTTAGCACTTCAAAACAGTAGAGAAATGATGATTGCTTAATAAATTAAATAGGGACTCGGCACCTGTGGCTCAAGCGGCTAAGGCGCCAGCCACATACACCTGAGCTGGCAGGTTCAAATCCAGCCCAGGCCACCAAACAACAATGACTGCTGCAACAAAAAATAGCCAGGCGGACTTGGCGCCTGTGGCTCAAGTGGCTAAGGTGCCAGCCACATACACCTGAGCTGGCAAGTTGGAATCCAGCCCAGACCCGCCAAACAACAATGATGGCTGCAACCAAAAAAAAAAAAAAATAGCTGGGTGTTGTGGCGGGCGCCTGTGGTCCTAGCTACTTGGGAGGCTGAGGTAGGAGACTAGCTTGAGCCCTGGAGTTGGAGGTTGCTGTGAGCTGTGATGCCATGGTACTCTACCCAGGGTGACAGCTTGAGGCTCTGTCTCAAAAAAAAATAAAATAAAAAATAAATTAAATAGGAAAACTTGATCTAGTCAAGATTTGGAAAAAAAGAGTCACATTCCTACCTACCTCAATATTTATGCTACAACAAATTCCAGAGGGATTAAAAATGTTAAGGTGAAAAACAAAGCCATATTAGTACTAGGAGAATATTATGCAGCCTTAAAAGGGAAAGCAATTCGGATATATGTTACAACATGGATGAACTCTGAGGGCATTAAGCTAAGTGAACTAAGTCAGTCACAAAAGGAAAAATACTGTCTGTGGCCAGACCACCTTCAACGTGCCTAATCTTCAGAAGCCAACCAGGATTAAGTCTGGTTAGTATAGTACTTGGATGTAAGACAAATACTGGGGTGGTGCCTGTGGCTCAAAGGAGTAGGGCGCCAGCCCCATATGCCAGAGGTGGCAGGTTCAAACTCAGCCCCAGCCAAAAACTGCAAAAAAAAAAAAAAAAGACAAATATTATATGAGTCCTTCTATGTGAGGTATTTAGTATGGTCAAAATTATATAAGAAAAAAGTAGAGTGGTGGTTTCCAGGAATAGGGAGAGGAGGATTGGGGAAGGACGGCTTCATAGGTATGAGGTTTCTTTTCAGAGGGATAAAAATGTTCTGGAACTAGATAGTGATAATTGTACAACCTGGTGAATGTACTAAAAGCCACCAAACCATACACTTTAAAATAGTTTAAATGATTAACTTGGTGTTATCTGAATTTTATCTCAATTTTTTAAAAGTACTAGAAGAAAATACAGGTCATTTGCTAATGTTCTCATGGAGCAGGTCTTTCTAGTCATTTAATCAAAGGTAGAAACCATAAAGGAAAAGACTACATAAAAATGGAAAATATCTATTTAGGGGAAAAAGTAATTGAAAACAAAAAATGGCATGGCTTTGTTCTGTCACCCAGACTGGGATTGAAGTCCTAGCCTCAAGCAGCCCTCCTACTTCAGCCTCCACAGTGGATGGGATTACAGCCACAAGCCACTATGCTGAGACAATCTCTTACAGAGCAATATTTTAAAAGGCTAATAGGGTACGCACTGTAATATAAAATATTTAAAGGAATTATATACAAATTTCACAATGGATGAAATACATAAAGTTCGTGTGCAATTTAAATAGTTGAGCTTCATGGCCACCCTGTATACATCGTCAATAAGTACACTGAAAAGTTCAATCTATGCAAAATAAAACAAATTGGTTTCTGCCTATCAGATAAAAAGTTGTTTTTCTGTTTTGTTTTGTTTTTAAAACACAGCCTCACTCTGTCACCTTGAATAGAGAGCTGTGGCTTTAGCCTAGCTCATAGCAACCTCAAACTTCTGGGTTCAAGCAATCTTCCTGCCTCAGCCTCCTTACTACCTGGGACTATGGGTGCAAGCCACAATGCTCAGCTAACTTGCATAACATTTTTAAAGGTAGCTCTTAACATTTTTTATATCTGGACCCCTTTGAGAATTTGATAAAAGTAATAGGTCTTCTCCCAAGAAAATACACATGCATACATATAATTTAAAGAGGGTCATGAATACTCTAAAGTCCATTAATAAATATACAAGTTGGGAATCTCTGACCTTATTGTTGGGATTTTAAAAGTGAAGTTATAAAATTCGTTCATACTCAGAACAAAAAACATCATTTTATCATAAGGACATTTGCACTAGACTATTCATTGCAGCTCAATTTATAATTGCCAGATTGTGGAAACAACCTAAATGCCTACCAATCCAGGAATGGATTAACAAGCTGTGGTATATGTATACCATGGACTACTATACAGCCACTAAAAAGGATGGTGACTATACAGCTTTTGTATCAATTGAGTACATTGGATTCTTCTTAGTAAAGCATCACAAGAATGGAATAGCAACAGCACTCTACCAAGGGGGACAAAGTGAGACTCTGTCTCAAAATAAAGAATGGAGAAGCAAGAATCCAATGTACTCAATTCTGATATGAGGACAACTGATGTTAGTATATGGTGAGGGGAGTGGGCATGGGGAGGGGAGAGGGAAGGAGGAAGGGGGCTGTGGGGCCACGGTGTGTGACACACCTCTTGGGGGCAGGACACTATTAATAGAGGAACTTCATCCAGCAAACATAAGCAGTGTAACCTGGCTTACTGTATCCTCAATGATTCCCCAACAATAAAAAAAAAAAAATGAAATTTTTTCAAATCACCTTATAGAATCCAATTTTAAAGATCAAATATAGGCTAGGCACAGTGACTCATGCCTATAATCCTAGCCCTCTGGGAGGCTGAGGCAGGTAGACTGCTTGAACTACAGAAGTTCAAGATCAGCCTGAGCAAGAGCAAGACTCTATTTCTACTAAAAAAAAAAAAAAAGAAAAATAGAAAAACTGAGGCAAAAGGATCACTGAGCCCAAGAGTTTGAGGTTGCTGTGAGCTATGATGATGCCATGACACTCTACGTAGGGTGACAAAGTGAGACTCCACCTCCTCCCCCGCCTAAAAAGATACAGAATAGTGCCTGTGGCCCAAAGGAGTAGGGCACTGGCCCCATATACCGGAGGTGGTGGGTTCAAACCTGGCCCTGGCCAAAAAAAAAAGATACAAATATACTAGAAATAAATTATGGTAGCCAATTGCAAAAAATAATGATTTGTTTCCTGCTTTAGTAGTAGATTGTGGCAAGCATAATGATTTTATTTTATATTTTTTGTGTGCAGTTTTTGGCCAGGGCTGGGTTTGAACCCACCACCTCTGGTATATGGGGCTGGCACCCTACTCCTTTGAGTTACAGGCACCACCCACCTGTGTAATGATTTTTTAATGCGGTTTTCTGAGGTAAGGAAAGCAAAACAAACCTTTAATTCTAAAGCAAAAGAGCCTCCAGAGGTTGGCAACTTCTCTCCAAGAAGCCTGATCAGAAAATATTGAGCAAATCGTGAATGCTGCAAGATAGCTGCTGTTTCTTCATCCACTTCCACAATTTCACCTTCCTAAAGGGTAACACAAAAAACACATACTAAGAGATGCCACTTTAATCTCCATGGAAGAAAAATGCCCTTAAGTTTACTAATGAGTGGCATTTCAAGATAAAAGACTGTATGATCTGACATGGTCTTTTCTTATGTTCAGATTCTGCTAGTTTCATGTTTATTTTCAGATGGAAGCAACCAGTGTTACAATCAGTCTTTTTTTGATGTCAATGCTAAAAATGGACACTTATACTCCAATGTCAAGTCTTTCCTCAGAGATAGATACAGAAACCACTGCATTCTGAGTTTCACCTTATTCATCACTATGTGAGGGCTTCAGACAAAAGCACTGGTGAGGATGTGGAGAAAAGGAGACCTTTTTGTACCATTGGAGGGAATTAAATTAGTACACCTGTGTGGAAAACAGAAAGGAGACTCCTCAAAAAATTAAAAAGAGAACTACCATATGACACAGCAATCCCACTACTGGGTAGAGATCCAAAGAAAATGAAGTCAGGGCTCGGCGCCTGTGGCTGAAGCGGCTAAGGCGCCAGCCACATACACCTAAGGTGACGGGTTCGAATCCCAAGCCCGGGCCCGCCAAACAACAATGATGGCCACAACCCCCCAAATAGCCAGGTGTTGTGGC